CCGTATTAGAAAAAAAAGAGCTATCTGTTAGTATTCCCAAAAAGAAATATGTAGCAGCTTTGCAATTCATTTCTCATTGGTAGTAATCACAAATTTGTACTAATTGAGCACAACAAGCAGCATAACTACCATCTACTCAAGCTAAATCAGTATAAAAATCTAAATTACTATCATGATGATCTATTCGAATTACTGAACCTCATTTTCTTAACCCTAACTCTTTAAAATACTCCTGAAATTTCTGAGTTCTAACACTAACTCCTGAATCAAGAATGATTGCAGCAGCTCCCTCAAAATTAAAATCTCCAGGTAATTCATCAAACTCCATATGAAGTCAGGGGAAAACCCCCTGACTACTACCTACAACATATATTTTCTTAGAGTGATATTGAGTTTTCAACACTTCCTTCAATCCAAAAGCTCCTCCAAGACAATCTCCATCCGGTCTTTCATGAATAAAAATAACAATATCATTAAAGTTCTTTAAAAATCTATGAAAGTTCTTTAAAAACTGATCTCTTTCCTTAACTTTTCTAGTAATAATATTTTCGGCAGCTTTTTTCTTAAAAATCAACTCTAATTACTTAACTCTAAACAGAAAACTCAGTTATTCTGATTTTAGTTAACTTTCTGAATTAATCTAGAGAGGTCCGAAAAAGTTGTCCAATTCTTTTATAACCCCATCTTCGTCATTATTAAACCTAGAAATTACTAATGCCTCTTGATGTAGCAAAAAGGTTGCATTTGATAGTGCGCATCCCCTCACTCCCCCTTGCATCATCGGAATATCATTGTAATTATCTCCAAAAGTCAAAATATTGGAAAAATCTACACCATAATAGTTAGCAACAAATTTAACAAAACTAAACTTATCTTCTTTATCGCTCTGAATTTCTAAGTTTATAAGACCAGGATAGTAAAATACATTAACTTTAGGGGCAGGTCTAAACTTCTTTACAGTTTGAATAATTTCATGAACTTGTTGTCTATCTTCTTCTCTATAAAGTAGTTTTATTCCTATTAAAATAGATTGACTATCATAAAAAGTTTTTCATATTTTATTAGGTTGATCAGTATTTAAAGGTATATTAGCTTTATTAGTGAGTAAACATCCTGAATGTAAACTAGGAAGAACATGAGGCGCAAATAAAAAATATCTAAGAAATTTCTCTCCTAAACAAGAGAGAATCAAATGATCTGTTTTGGGATTATATATGTAAGCTCCATTTAAACAAGAGATATATCCTGACAGTGAAAGACTTTCATAAATATCTTTAGCATCTGCCCAGTTTCTACCAGTAGAAAATGTAAAGAGTACATTAGGTCTTTTCTCCTGAAATCTTCTTATATATTCAATAGACTCCTTAGAAACTTCTCCTTGGGAGTTACATAATGTCCCGTCAAGATCTGTAATTACTACATATTCGTAATTGGTCATGAATTATATAAAGTTTTAAGGGCTTCTCACTTTACTTCTTTAAACTTAGTGAGAAAGTCTCAAAATCTATTATCTTTTTCTTCCAGTAATTCACACTCTGTACTAGAACCTTTTTCACAATTCAATATATAAAGAGAGACTGGCAAGCAAAACCCAACTGTCCTGACAAATGCACTAACTAATCTATTACTATTCCACCTACTGGGCTTCTGAACTAAATAAACAGCTTTCAAATCTTGAAAACTTAACTGACATTTAAGTAACTCTTTCTCTACACTTTCTGGGAGATCAGGTAATACTCTAGAAAGAGGTATTCTTCAATCTGATAATATTTCCCTTTCACTAAGCTTAAAAAGTAATATTCTAAGTTCTTCTCCATAAAAGGTTAAATAAAGAGAAACAGCTTGATTATTTTCATACATCAGGTACAAATGACATTACTTGATGTATATCGATTTTCAATTCTGTTAATTTCTTAGAGAATTCGAGGGGAGGCATAGTTCAGACGACAACAGGTTTAGTAGTTCAAGGATCTATGAATAATACACTGAATGAATGTAAATATTGACCAAAAGAATCATTATTTATTTTCTTCCCATATATAGGGTCATTAAGAATTGAACAAGATAAAGTAAACAAGTGGGCTCTTAGCTGATGAGTTCTCCCTGTTTTGAGAGTTAAAAGTACTAAAGTAGAGTCTATAGTTTCTGCATAAGTCAGGGCTGGTTTAAACTTTCTAGAATTGGTTGCTGACACTTTCAATTTATCTCCCTTATCTCTTCCTAGTGAAAAGGATATTTTAACTTTTGGATGAGGCAATGGAGATGAAAGAATAGCTAAATACTTTTTTTCAATCTTACGTTCTTCAAATAATGCTCTTAAAGTTAGTAATGCCATTTTACTTTTAGCCACTAGAAATAGACCACTAGTGTCTCTATCTAATCTATTAACTAAAAAAAGTTTTTCTCCATATTTTTCTTTAAGTGCACCTATTACGGTTTCTTTTTCGTATGTAAATCTGTCTTTGTGAACTAACACTCCTGAAGATTTATTAACTACTAAATAATGTTGAGTCTCATAAGCTATTTCTACCTCCACTAGATGAGTCTAACAGAAAAAACTAGTTTATCTCGCAAGGAAGAATCGGAAGTTCTTCAATCTAAATTTGCTAGGAGAATGATACATTCTCTTATGAAATACAAACCTCCTAAACTGTTCAATAAATGTTACCTTGAGATAGATTTAGTTCAGGGAAAATTCTTTGGGGACAAAACAATAGGCCAATTAGTGGGAAAATCTGGAGAAAGGAAAGATGAATTCTACCTTCTTACTGGAATAAAACCTCACATTGAAGATTCTAGAGAAAAACCTCTATTAATACTGTCTAAATATAATGTTAGGGAGATTAAGCTAGCTGGTTTATTAGGGCATCGTTTTAAGAGTAGTAAAAGTTGATCTTCTAGCTCAATTCATAAAAATTTTCAACAATTACAGAAACAATTAATTGATGAAGAAACTGAATTGGGATTTGAAGAATTGAAATTCTTGGGGGGAGAGTTCGAGCTTAATTCGTTAGCTCAAGCAGTAGGTCGAATGAGTAATGAAATGTATTCAGAACATCAAACACTATTAGAACATAGTAAGGAAGTTACTCAAGAATGTGTTGAAGCTGCTACTACACTCTCTTTAGAGATTGAAAAAATAAAAAGAATTGCTTTTTTTCATGATATAGGAAAGATTTTTCTTCCTTATTATTCTCACTCTTCCGAGGAGGTATTTCAATATATTCCTGAGTTAACAGATTCAGAAATTAAAGAATGTATATCGTCTCATCATAAATCTTTAATATCATTCGAGAATCCTAATATTGCTTTAGTATCACTCATTAATAAAGTTGTATCTCAGAGACACTTTCTAAAAGATTACAACTCAACTCCAGAATTATTAGTTTGCGTTAACAATTTAATTGAGAATCTGAAGAGCTGATCTAAGCAATATGATTCTGTGAATTTTTATTACAGTTTTTCAGCTCTCGCTCTTTGAGTAATTGTTGCACCAAAAAGTAGTGAAATTAAGAACAATTTAGAAGGAATCGTTTCTAATCTAAAAAAAACTATTGAGAAAGAATCTCAAAGCTTCGAATCATCTTTTACGAGTGAAGAAACTAATCAATTAAGTTTATGTATTTATACTCTCCCAAATGCATCTAAAAAAGCTACTATAACAAAATTAAAAATTCCATATCAAAAAACTATGCCTAAGAGAGACTTACAAACTATCTAAATATAGAAATAAATAAAAGTGAGGGAAAGCGAATTAAAACAATTGATGATTTCAGATTTGATAGTTTGATGTTGAAAACTGTATATAACCTCAAATTACCTAGTAAATATGTGGTTCATTTCGCTCCAATTAAAAAGAAATTTCAGATTAATTTATCTATATTGTCGGAGAGTGCTCGAACACTTCTTCATGATCTTCTAAATGAATACTCTCATTTACATGTCTGAACTTCTGAACTGTCTTCTTTTAAACTCTCAGAGGAGAGATCATTAAGTGCTAAAGAAACAAAAACCCTATTACTTGTTTCTGAAAATATCAGTAGAGAGAACTCTCTATTGAAATTCAATTATGAAAAAATGGATATTGCATATCTTTTTTACCAATCGCTTTTAAACTGTAGTCAGATTGAATATGAAAATCTCTCTAGAGAAATTATTCAAAAGTTGTATAACGAAATCTCACTTTCTAAAAAAGAAGAATTAATTAAGTTAGGACAATCAATTCTAATAGACTTCTTAGAATACTCATCTTCTGAAGTTTCAGAAGAGTTAAGTTATTCTGTGGGAAAAACTAAATATTTCTTCTCGTATAATCAGAACTTATTGGAGCATCTTCTTGAAGTTAGTGTTTTAAGTGCGAATTTTGCATATCAATTGAAATTGAATGTAAGTCAAGCCAAACGGGCTGCCTTTTTTCATGATATAGGGAAAATAGTAGGTCAACACGCAAACCATGTTTCTACTGGAGTGGAATTTGCCAAACACTTTAATTTAGAACCGTATATTTTAGAAACTATAGAATTTCACCATAATTATGAAGTAAGATGAGAAACTCCCTACTTACCCATCGTAAGAGCGATGGACAAACTTTCCGCAGGTAGATTAGGAGCGCGACCTCTACAACTAGAGAAAACTAAAGAGCGAACTGACAAAATTATTGAGCTTCTCTCAAGCATAGAAGAAATATCTAAAGTTGAATTTTTAGCTGGAGGCCACATTATAAAACTATATTTAAGTCCTCAACGATTTGAGTGAAATGATCAGGAACAATTAAAGGAAAAGATTGCAAAAACTATTAGTCAATCGGAACTTAAATATCAATACAATTATCAGTTCTTACTGAAATTAGAGTATGAATCATCATTCATGTTAGAAGAATATTCAGAAACTATCTAACATTTATTTAAGGGCCTAACTGGAGGCATAGTTCAGTAGTAGAACACTCCCCTGATAAGGGAGAGGTCAATGGTGCGATCCCATTTGCTTCCACCAAAAATTTAGGGGATTTAGCTCAGTTTGGAAGAGCATCTGATTTGCACTCAGAAGGTCGTGGGTTCGAGCCCCATAGTCTCCACCACTATATTCATTAATTAAATAACTAAACAACAAGTAGAGAAGGGGTTGCCCCTTCTCTATTTAAAAATCTCGTTTTAACTACAAATTAGTTAGACTATCAACAGACAAAGGATCAGCATTTCTATAATCTTCAACTATTCTTCCATCTTCAATTCTTATAACTCGATCAGTGATTGTAGCAATTGCTGGATTGTGAGTAATCATAACTATCGTGGTTTTCGCATATTCATTAATTAATTTGAAAAATTTAAGAATTGTTTTAGCTGTAGAATGGTCTAGAGCCCCAGTTGCCTCATCAGCAAATAAAATGTCTGGTCGTTTAATTAATGATCTCGCAATAGATACTCTTTGTTGCTGACCACCAGAAAGTTGACCGGGATATTTATTCTCATGTGCAGACAAATTAAAAATATCTATTAAATAAGAAACATCACTCACATCATCTGCAAAGAAAATTTGCCTCAATATTTTTTTACACGATTCCCAGCGTTCTAATCCCTCTCTTCTAAATTGTCTGAATCTCTTAATTACAGAAATTAAAGATTCCATAACAGTCTTCATTGGATTTCTTAAAGCTGTAGATAATTCAATATTTCCCCTAGCAGTTAAATATGGAATCAATGCATAATTCTGGAAAATATATCCAATCTTTCGCCTCCTGAAATTAGTCAACTGAGAATCAGAATAAATTGAAGTATTATTTTTATCTATAAACATCTGACCATTTGTAGGAATATCTATTCCCGAAAGTAAGTTAATTAATGTAGTTTTTCCAGAACCTGAAGGTCCTAGAATAGAAATAAACTCTCCTTTATTTATTCGCAAATTTATATCTTTAAGAGCATGAAAGTTTCCAAAAAATTTATTCACATTTTTAAGAGAAATGAAGGGAGCCTCTTCTTTTTCTTTCTCTAGTCTCTTTAATTCCTTTCTACTCACTCTTTGAGGTTTAGTTCTCTTCTTTTGTAGTTTGTGTTTAACAATTTTCGTTTTCTTTAAAGAAAGTTGTAACTGAATAAAAATGTTTCTGAAAAGTGGAAACAAGAAGGGATTTCCTGCAAAAAATTCTTTTAGATAATTACGATAGACCACTATCGATCCTCAGAAAGAAACAAAATTAATCAAAAAAGTTAAATATCCTGCAGGAGTTAAAGGTAAGGTAGAAGTCATTCCCTCAGTATGTTTTCCACTTCCTCCAAAAAGTAAAGATCATACTTTTGATTCTTCTGGTTTATCAGTATAAGTCGCACTACCAAAAATCATTAGAAGCGAAAAAGTTGTTCAGAAAATATTTATTAATTGAAAGAAAGAAATTCGATAAATTGCTAAATTAAAACTTTTATTTTTTTTAAGTAATATATTTACCCTATTTCGTTCAAGAATTCCCTCAACTTCCATAAAGAAATTCTTGAGTATAAAAATTAAATAAAGTCCTACTAAGAAGAGAGATACAGCTAGAACTACAAAATAATATGTATCGTTATGTCACTTAGGATTCTCCAGTCTATATGCTTGAGTTAAGGAAGAGAGATTATGTCTTCTAAAAATATATGTAAATGCTGTTTCAAATACAATCCTCAAATAGTGGGGGTGAATAATAGGGACTTTGCTTGTGGGAAAAATCATTGCACATAAAACCCAGAAAGATCAAATAAAAAATAATCAGAAAAAAATATTTATTAAAAAGTTGTAATTTGAAATCCAATATTTGAAGGGTGCATCTACTCTGAATTGAGCTCTTGTTCTATCAAATCCCTTAAGATCTTCTACTAATAATTCCTGATTAGGAACTCGTATCTCTTTTTTGGGGATTGGAATCCCCTTAGCTTTTTTAAGTTTTAACTCATGTCTTAAAAAAAGTTGGGCCTTTAAGGCGCCCAACATATTTTTAAAAAAGTACTATCCTACATGGTGATCTAGGAGTGTTGGGCCCAATCTATTTCGTTTGGATGGATTGGAATTTGCGATAATGTTGAAGTGATCATTCCCTTATCTATATGAATAACTTTATGTGCAATCTTAGCTATTAATCTATTGTGCGTAATTAAAAAAATAGTAGTTCCATATTTCTTATTAATATCCACTAAAATGTTTAGAATTTCCCTACAAGTGTCTGAATCTACTGCCCCTGTAGGTTCATCTGCAAATATTACTCGAGGATTTTTTGCTAATGCCCTAGCAATAGACACTCTCTGTTGTTGCCCTCCTGAAAGAGCTTTAGGTAATTTATGCATATGATCTGAAATTCTTAAGAGTTCTGCAGTTTTATCTATATCAAGTCTCTTTTGTGCATTTTCCTGAATTTTTTGACCTACCAAAATATTTTCTCTCACAGTTAACTCGGGAATAAGGGCATAATTCTGAAAAATAATAGAAAGATATTTAGCTCTAAAATCAATCAATCAGTGTTGACTTAAAGTGATTAAAGAGTGAGAGAATACAATAACTTCCCCATTAGAAGCTCTCTCCATTCCCGCTAGTATATTTAAAAGGGTAGTCTTTCCTGAACCAGACTCTCCTAATACTACTACTAACTCTCCTGATTTAACCTTAAGATTCAAATTCTTCAATACTCTGTTATATTCTCATGTCTTTTTATTAACATATCACTTTTCAAGATTTTTACATTCAATTACATAGCCTTTTGTATTTTCTACTACTCTAGTACCTTTATGTTGTTTATTCATTTTCAAAACTTGTCTAACTACTGTCTTACTATGTCTTTTTTTTAATTTGGCAAGTCTCTTTCTCTCTGACTTAGCCCATTCTTGATAACTAATAGGTGGTAAAACTCCTAATTGATGTTTACTATTTTTAAACAAAGTAGAAAGACTCAAATTAGACCCTTTCGGGCTTTTTAGAGTTTAAGAAGATTCGATTTTCTGCTCAGCTTTTTTTGCTTCCGCAATATACAAAGATTTAAAGTAATCAATAGCTTCTTGAAAATTAGTCACATGAGGTTTTATTCTAAACATAAATGGAACTCAAGGCAAGTTTAAAGAATAAGGTTTTCGCTGTTTTTCTGCAAATAACTTTTGATATCTCTGATATTCTTTTCGATCAAACCCTGTTAAATCCCTAACTTGCGTATTGGGATCTCTTCCCAAAAAATCCGTGACTTTCTTATTAATATCAGGAGATTCGGTGAAATATTTTTTATAGAGATCAATTAAAGGCAAAACTGACTTTACTACTTTAGGCAAAGTAGTTTTTCAGAACAGCTGATATTTAATTAAATTGTTCTGGAGTTTTTGCCCAGCTTCGAAATATTGAGCTTTTCTATTAGATTTAAAAGAAATTGCGAAGGGAGTTTGATAAATGTTAGAGCCTAAGAATCCTTTCAAGCTCTTTACTCTATTAGATGGTTTTCTTTTGAGAAAGTATTGTAATCTAATTTGAATTCTTGATTTTTAATGTAATAAAAGTTTTCCACAACATTAAATAAATGATCTAAAAATCTATCTACTTTAACTAATAAAAGTTGCAAAATTCTCGATAGTGACAGAAGATCTTCCATTAGAGGCAATTGCATCAATTCAGTATCATTAGATTTTTTTAATTCTGAAAGTACATTTAACCCTTTACGATCTAAAAGTTTCTGATTTAATTGTCTCGAGATAGAAGATAACTTAGAATGCAATGTCATTTTTTCAGCTAACAATTCTTGAAAAGCTAACTGATGAATCTTCCCAATCGAATATTTAAATAGTGAATAAATAGTTTGAAAATATTGAAGAATTATTTCTCACAATTCAGAACCTAATATGATTTTTTTTAATTCAGCGCATTTACCACTTTTCACAAGTTTAGAAATGGAGTGAAGATAATCTCCGCAACGTTCTAAATCTTTAGAAGAGAGAAGTAAAGCCATAAAGAAACGTAAATCATTAGCAGAAGGAGTATTTTTGGAGCAATGCCACTCTATATGTAGTAAATTTTGAGAATAACGAAAATTAGATTTTTCCTCAATTTGAAAAATATCGTCTCACTCTATTTTTCCCTCCCAAAAAAGGAGAGAAGATTTAATAAATCTTTTTATGAGATGAAGATAGTCTAAAAAGTCGGAATAACATTTCTGAATTGAAAATTCTAGAAGTTGTGAATTGACTGCCATACCATAAAAATCAAACGAAAACCTCTAATAAATTTTAGAGAAATTGTACTAGTTTAATTGGGGTAATCTAATGCTGAGAGAAATTATCTCTTTCTTCCTAATTTCAAATTGTTCTAATCGATGAACTAACAGTTGACCCATTATCTCGCCTTTTAACCAAAACCTATAAACTAAAGCTGCTGAAAAACTGGGGAGATACTCTCCCCTGTCTATCTGTTCTACATGTAATTTTTGACATACAATTTTTTCAAATATATAGTTAAGAAAAGCAATAATCTCACTAGCATTGTATCATTCCCATTCATCTAATCTACTTCCTAATAAACTTACAGGAGAAGCGATCCCTAATAGCCAACAATTAACTCAAGGACAAAAAGATAGTTCGAATACTGGATAACATTTTTTCTTTCTATTTAAATTCTCGAGCAAAATATTAAAAACTAGAGAATAGTGTAAATTATCCCTTAAAGTTAAGGAATTATTATAAGATAAACAAAATTCTCTACTTTTCAAATTTCTATGAGATTCTATGAATTTTGGAGTATTAACTTCTACAAAACCTTGGGCGACCAAATATTTTCTAATATCTTTTCAAATAGATCAACTAGATTGTTTGAAATTTTCATTTAATTGAATACTTTTTCTTCCCGGATGACTTTTGATTAATTTTGCGCTTTGATCTAATAGAAGAAATTTAGCTAGAATTTCAGAAAATGGAGGAAGATTATCTTGACAATATCAGGGAGGTCAGGTAATTTTTCATTGATTATCAGAAAGTGGAGATAAATGGAAATTTGATTTACTTAATTTTTTAACTGTATTTTTTCAGTTCAAAATTAATTCTTGAAAAACTGTATTAAATTCTGATAAGTCTACTGTTGTTT